AGTGTGTGTGTGTGTGTGTGTGTGTGTGTGTGTGTGTGTGTGTGTGTGTGTGTGTGTCTGCGTATGGGGTGCGTGTATATGGGTGCGTGTACGACTCGTATCGATCTAATGTTCTTTTTCCCATACCGGTGCATGAAGGCGGCGGTTGACATGTTACTATCCATGGGGTGGTTCCATAAATCCCGGCTGGACCCCGCCAACGTGACCCTCTCGATGGCACTCCCGCTCGCGGTGCTCCGAGCTCCACTTTGTCACCCTGACCTCTCGATACGACACCACCACGGAGAGGAGACCTCAGGATATCCACGATGGATGGAAGAATCCGACGCGACGCGAACGCGGCTGGCAACAACGACCGGTAGATGGATTCGCTCTCTGTCGAACACCTGCTTACGTCGGTCCGAGCAGGTTGAGACCGTCTGCTGGACTGAAGTCAGAATGCGCACTAGTCGGTTTCCATGGTGGATGGCACGATGGTGGTGGTTGGCGGAGAGAGAGAGAGAGAGAGAGAGAGAGAGAGAGAGAGAGCGAAAAAGCTGGAGGTGGAGTACCGATGGAGGTGGTGGCGGCAGTGGTGGTTGTACCCGTGCTCGGCAGGTCTCGAAGAATTGGTGGGGGTTTTGACAGAATTGCCGGCTGCGCACCGCGTTCTCCATCAGGCGATGGCACAGACCTTAAAGGCACTGCGCATGATGGTGCTGGCCGAGAAACCCATGGAGGATTGACTCATGGGACGTAGAGTGTAACGTGGTGCTAAAATCGAGACTAGAAATCGCGGAGAAACTAGCGTTAAATTTCTAAAATTTTGTATCAGAGAAAGAAGTTGTTTTTTTCTATCATGAGGTATAATTATTATATTTATATTTAATATTTTATTCGATAATTGTATATACATACAGAACAATTTTTATGATATACATACAGAGCATTTTTTTAAGATATAAAAGTTACGTAACTGTCTATTTTTTTAAAAGGATAGGTTTTCTCGGAATAAATTATTATTAGAAAATTGTAATAATTTTGATTTAGATCTATTTTATTTTCTACATGCAAACATATTCTTTCTCTCTTTGTTACTCTCTTTCTCTCTTTCATATCGAGAATTTTTGTCTTCTTTATACAACAATTAAAAGACATCAATAATAATAAATATTTTTCTATATAAGAATTTAAATATTTTAGTAAATGTTTAAATTCTTGCATAGAAAAATAATTTTCACGCGATTTTTCTAATCTAAGATAATAATTTTGTACATGCTGTACGATGGAAATTAATGTATCCTCATAGTTTCGTTATGTGTATAAACTACCTCCAGTAGTTTCGTTCTTCGCGAAGGCGCAGCAGTTACGTTGCAACTTCTTAAAACGTATTGTTGCGTTTTAGCGTAGGTTTTTCTACTCCTTTATTGTCCCCACGAGTAATTTCGCTCTCTCGCGCGACGACGATTTTGTCCCTTACGGGATGGGAAAATGTTGGCACAAGCGACATAGAATTCCGCTGAAAATTGCCATTTTTTGCTTCTCATCTGTAAGCTTCCGCGGTTCCATTTTCATCTAGTACCACCGTCGTTGAGCTCTCACTGCTACTGGGCATTCATTTTACTCTTCGTTTTTCATATCTTTTTCTCGTTCTTGCTCTTGTCCTTCTCGAATGCAGGATGCATTTTTATATCGAGAATCCGAGCTGATTTAATGGTACGCGATTTTTGCCAGACAACGGCAGAACGGCAAATATTTGCTAATTTATCATTACCTTCTCCAAACGACGGGTCTTTAAATTTTCGATCGCAGGATAGTCGTTCACTTTAAAAATTTTATAAATTCTTTACAGCAAATGCGTTCTTAAAGTACAAGTTAAATATATCGTTCCCAAATATTTTCGCGAATTATCCAAGAGACATAATCAAGAAATGCGACATTATACCATAATTAAGTTCTATCAAAATTGAAACGAAATTAGATCGCACGACACCCATTGGAGCACTTTGCGCGCTCCAATATCGATCGTCCTTTGACGATGTTTGCCAGGAGACGTAGTTACAATGACGCTAACTCGTATAATTGTTCGGCTTTACTCGGGCTAATTGCATTGGCCCATTCGCGTAGCTGCTCTCCCTGGGCGACGGAGTAGAATTTAATTTATGGGCAAGTGTCTGGTTGAAATAGCCCTCGTAGTCCTCGGTTTCACCTGAATAATTTCGGTTTCCCCAGTTCCGGCATATTCGAATTCAAACCTCGGGATGAAATCAATACGTAGACATCACGGGCTTCAGCTATTTTCCCCGTTTCCCATTCGTTCCCGTTCCCCCTTCGCGCTTCCGGTAATAAGTTGCTCTGCGCAATAAAGTGTGCCAAAGAGGAAGAAAAGGAAGAAGGGTCGTAGATATTGTCGAGCCTCGCAAACGAAGGGAATTTTTCTTAGCTGAAATGAAAGTTGTTCTCTGACGTTCAGAAAATAATCCGTCCAATTTTCCCTTAAAAAGACTTTGCAAAATTTTGTAGACTCTTTTTGTATATATGATTTTATTAATGCAGGTTATTAAAACATTTTTACTTTCAAAAGAAATATACATTAATTAATTTGCATTATTTGATGTTTCGCTAACTTTTATATTAATACAAAATTTTTATCATAAAGACTGAAGCACACTTTCGCTTGGATTACCAAGCTCGTGCAGCGATAAAAGTACTGAGCTTATTAAATATTGACAGCATTAAATATTAATCAATCGATGCAAGTCGTCAGGTGAAAGAGCACAGACAATGAAACGAGAGGAGAAAAAAAAAGTCTCTAAAGATGGGTGCTCATCGTGATCGGTACGGCAGAACGGGCGGCATTATTCGCGCAGTACATAGCGATTCATTCGTCATTGTCCGACGTCCCTTTTGTAACGTTACACGAGGATGACTTTCGCGGCATATGGGCTCACTCGCCGGTGAATCGCTGCGAGCGTGCATGGTACACGTGCGCGGCTCGCGATGCAGATATATTGCATTCTAAAGCCAGCCGACGTCTGTGCAAGATCGCCGAAAGTATTTGTTGCTATCAGTTGTGTGCAAAAACGTGACATTTCTAGCGCCACGCACTAATTAAAACGAACAGAGGAATGCGCGCATTCTCGGTCGATTTCGAAAGCGGACGAAACGAGCGCTCGAAATGACGTTAATCATTCCGCGTGGAAAGTCAGAATCTATCTCGTTTATCATTCAACGAGAACGACGAGGTCGCTCCGTTTATCTTCTTTCGAGCCGTCGTGCGTGGAGAGTGGCGAGTAAACGAGACGCGAGGGAGGAGGAGGGTGTCGGGAAAGAACGGATGTGCTTAACGAAAATCGCGTGCGAGCACGATTCGATGAGACATCTGTGAGATACAGGTAGTCACGCCTTGTCACAAAGCACGCGCAAGGCTGACGCATATCCTGGGAGGGGGGGGGGGGGAGGGAGTGAATAAACATTGGGGTAGTTTCGACGAGAGTCATGCTGTTGATACACTGGAAATTACGCGCGCAAACGTATTCATGATGAAATTGAATTCGCGATGAAATTGAATTTGATTCTCGATCTACGTAGTTTGTCGCTCGCATCAGCCGAATTTAAATCTTTTATTGTAAATCTTGGAACGCGAACCACTAACATTTTCGCCGGGTAAACTTAGTTTCACATTAGAAGAGAATCTGTCTAAGAATCTGTCAAAAAAAAAGAAAACGATATAAAGAGAATACTTTCTTCTTGTTACAAATTTATAATTGCAATATTTAATTTTACATCATTTATTTAATTTTACATCATTTATTTAATTTTACATCATTTATTTAATTTATTTTTTAATTTTACTTGTGAGTAATAAAATTAAGATAACATTTTGATGGCGACTGTACCATCCCGATATGCAAATTGTGCGTAAATCAATAACCACTGAAAGAAGGGAAAGGAAATTGACAGATGGAGTAGCGAGGCAGGTTAATTTAATGAGACTCTCGTATTATAACATTTCGTTATACTTTAATGCAGTAATCATAAATAATACATAGAAGTAAGGTAAACATAAAGCAAAACTTATTAATATATTATTTATCCTATAGAAAAAACGAAATACTAAAAGTTGATAAAAATTATAGAAAATAGAATGGTTTTTTTTGTGAAACAATTCTAAAGAGTCAAAGTCGAAGTTTTTAATATCGTGAATATGACTCTGCAACATATGTATCGATCTGTTATTTACACATAATCAAATTTTATTTTAATATGAAAAAATTATCTATCTTTATATTATATAAATTATATATCTATACATATAATCATAATAGTTTCTAATAAAGCTGGCGTAATCTTAATCCATAATGAAATATAATTGCTTATAAATTTTTGAATTATCAAGATTAAATCGCTTAATACCTTACGAATAAAATTGTTGGTTACAGGATAAATGATTTTACAACAATTAATTATTCTTCGGAATATGCAATTAAAGTATATAATTATCAGATCCTCTACATATGCGAACGCGTGATTATAAATTATTATATTAGAAAAATAGAACACAAAAGTTAAATATGTTTTTTGTTATAATAGACAAAACTTCGATAGCGATCTTTATTCGATATCTATCAAAAGTAAATGATTATGGAAAGGTTTGTACAGATGCGCTATATTATATACATATTGTTTTTATTACGGCACGAGATATATAAAGTATATGATATATTATCATACTAATAATATATGTAATTAAATGAATATATATCTTAAATATATAAATTACATCACAAAAATATAAAAAATAATGGTAATCATGATGCGTAATGCTAATATATGTGTAATAAATCAACGAGATTTGTACAATCAGATTTGTCCTTTTGATTATCACGATATAATTAGCTGTGTTTATGGCGTTGAATAATTTTATTGATTGGTAAATCACGTGAATGTTTTTGTGGATTTCGAAGACTTCCTTGGTCCTTTTCTTGAAAAAACAGTGATAGCTCTTAGGCTATAGTGTTTCGTTGTCATTCGATCATTTTAAAGAGTGCGCAGGAGAATATCATGCCGAAGAACTGTAATAATTCAAACACATTAAAACACATTATTCAATAAATAATAAAAGATAAGATACGAGAAGGAAAATATTTGTTTAATCACGATATATCAATCAAAATCATTTTTAAGAGACAAGGATAAAGAAAAATAATTTCCAAATTAACTTAATCGTAAAAGGAACACTTGTTCGGATTTGGATTGATTTATAACATTAAGATTTCAATTTGAATATTATGAATAAGAAATGAATAACAAACTGCATCTTACCATAAGACATGCGACCGCAATACCAGCGCCACCCATAACAGCCGCGTGTTGTTGCATGTAGATTTGCGTACTGTTGATGCAACCATCCACCCAAGTATTGGAAGGATTTGCCGTGTCCGGGCCGGCGTTGCAATGGAATCGCTGGGAGCAAATTGGACGATCATAAGAAGTGAGATTCCTCACTCGCGAGAAAGCCGATCAGAGGAGTGAAAGTGTGAGAGGCTCAGACCAGGGCGGTTAAGCCTCGGTCGATTAAGTAATTGTAGCCAAATTGACGGTATTCAATTGAGGGAAATCGGTGGGTCGTGTAAAGAATCGTTTAAGCCGCGAATAATTATTCGAGTCGAGTTGTGAATAATTACGAATCTTTAATGCGGATTCCGGAAAATGAGTCATTGGACTTACAAAGAAAAATTCCATTTAAAAAACGATAAAAGAAGAATGAACAAAAAAGTCTTTTAAAAATTAGATTTTACTTCTTTGGTAATTTATTTAAGAAACAGAAAAATTGATTCTCTTTGCTCGTTTCTGCTCGCTTTTGTTTTTCTTTTATTATTTTACAAATATGAGCTATGATTTTGTTTATTTCCGTAAAAAGTTCAAGACTTGATTGATCTTTAATTAATTTTTTAATAAAAATGATTATTATAAGGCATGAATAGCGAAAAAAATCATTTCTGTAATCATTGCTATTATAAATATATTTTACGAAATCGATTTGCGTAGCAAAGTGTTATTAATTATGGGCACGTCCGGTTGATTAATTATTTTATCTAATTTGCGATCGCAATTGCGCAATTGATATTTACCTGGCCAGGTTGAATTTCTCGACAACAACTGTCCGGCAGGCCTAGACCAACCCTTCCCCAGTCCCGAAAGTCGTTAACGCCGCAACAGTGGAGCTAAATTTACAAAAAAATCAAGAATACTGAATTAGCTTCCGAGAAATTTCGAACAATAATTAGATTCGAGGAAAATAAAGCGCGCACTTAAAACTTTGTCGAATTTAATTATTTGATAAAATTAAACTCTTATTCATATAACGTCCGTGCAGAACTACCTACCGTCGATTGTGTAGCATCCCAAGCGTCGCGAATGGATTTACGTTGATCGTAAAGTCGGAGTGAACTTTTCATCTCTCTGTCTACGGTGCTAAGTAATTTCTCGCGGAAAACATACCCCAGAACGCCACCGATGAGCATGGTTACAAACAGCAAGAATACAATTATGAAGTACTGAAAGAAAATAGATTTTTTTTTATGAAGAAAAATAAAAATAAGAGAGAGGCCACTAAGTCCACCTCTCTCATTTCTATCCTTCTTTTTAATATCATAAGTTTGACTCTCCACCTCCTTGGACTTTACGAATCAGCTGTTACACGAGCTGATCTCTTAATAAATTTCAATGACTTGAATTTCGAGAATATGATAAAATCTAATCAATTTGAGATAAACTGTTTTTTTTTTTAAACAGAAATTAATTTATCAAAAGATAACGTTGCAAATTAAGATATTCATCCGAGTTAGAGTCCGAATTAAGTCCTTGATACTCACTGTCAGAAGCATGCACTTGACTTCCCGTACTGCACCGACACATCCGAAAAAGGCGATAAACGCCACGACGATTCCCCCAACCAGTAAAACGTAAACTGCGCCGGTTAACAAATCGTTCCCCACGAGCTCGCCTATCCATGGCACTTTGTCAACCAAGGCCCACACGCCCAGACCCGTTACGATAATCCCGCCAATCTAGAACATAAATTAACAGAAAATTTAGTCTGTCTACATTATCGCGTAAATCTTCAGCAAAGCCACATAGACTGGAACTTACGAAGATGACAAAGTTCGTGAAGAATAGGGAATATTTCATGAAACGTCCACAGCCATCCATCTCTGTGCCGTATCCCATTTCCTCTTATCTGTGAAATTCTGTTAACAGACCGATAAACAAGAAAATGCTAGATATAGAGTTAACAATAAAATGCGAGAATGTTAAGAAGGTAAAGCCGCGTGACAAGTATTAATTCGTCGTCGTGAATTGACGGCATTGTAGCTATTATTTTGTATAATAAAATAAGAATATAAAACGTATTAAAAAAATAATTTTTTTATTAAAATTAATTGTAAAATCCAAGTTTCGCTATATACTTTTATTTTTCTTTCTTTATATTATTTCCATTGTATTACTTTATTCTCTCTTTTTTGCTTACGTAATAATATTAGGTAGACTCGAAGATCACGAGTCTCGACGAACGTATAATTAAACGAATTTTTATTACGGTCACGTACACCGTTTGTAATTATGTCTCACATCTCAGTGACATCAGACTTATGTTTGGCCTAGTTTGAAGTACCTTGGCCGTCCACCATAGCCTTGACCGTACATCCATAGGCGTCGGATTCTCTGAATTTTCATCAGATGTCGAAAAATGTCGGGCGACGAAACTCGCGATGAAACGCGAATTTTTTAATTGTGCAATTCTCGCGTGCAGCAAACGTGAAAAATCACTCGTCGCTTAATTACAAACAGATTTCACTCGAACTCTAATTCAACTCTAATTCCGAATTACTCCTTTTCTGTTGTCCATCCAATTATGTGCCCCGTGAATTAGGCTAAAATCTAATCTCATTAAGTACTCCCTCCTCCCCCCTTCCGCCGTTCCCCATTTCCCTAGCGCAATAATTCGTACTGAGTCGGGCCAAGTCCTAATAACTATTTATGAGCTAAGAGCTGAAATGAGCGTTCAACGCGAATATTTACGGTTCGGGAAGCAGAATCGGCGACTTCCTGTTTTGAAAATACTGCGCACACGGCTCAATCGCACGCTATTGTTACGTCGAACACGTAACCAGAAAGGTACGTCCGATCTTTACATCCGTAGTAAATCGTCGTAAATCGCGCGCGCGCGCGCGCGCGTGTGATTCTCCTAGCGTGTTCGCCCCTAGGTTTTTTTTTTTTCTTTCTGAAGAACGCGTTCACCTGTCGCTCGTACGCATCGCATTCTACGCGAACATACACGTTCGATGCGGCGCAATGCGGTCCCGAAGAATGGACGTTTTGCGCGCGCGTCGATCGCTATCGCTCCGCACAATATTGCATACCGCGCCCACATAAGGTTGCGTGTTTTGTAACGCGTTATACAGACCTCGGTCACGCACCGGTATAATATGCCGTCGTGAAAATACCGAGTTACGCCGGGAGATCGAGAGAGAAAGTGGCTTCTCCTCGCGCATTAAGTAATCCACGGCCCGGAGCGAAGCGACGATGCTTCGCACTTGCAATCCCGCGTCTCGCAAGCGACGCGGCCGAGGTGCAGGATTTCCTCCGTCTTATCTTGCGAAACGCTTAAGTCACTTCTCGCTTTATGTCAACCACAATTCGATTATTCCTTATTCCGCGAAGCGAAAAGAAGCCACGGAAGAATTTCTTCCTCATCTTTTGAGTTGCCTCTTCTCTCTTCCGACGGTCGGAAACCCAACGTGTCCGCATCCGTCGTGTCACTTCCAAAGCGGTTTGTAGAAAAAGCGAGAAAGTCCGAGAAAGAGTTAATCGATCTTGAAGTCGAATTAAATTATTTTTCACAGCTGCGGGTGTCGAAGATTCGCAATGCGATAAAAGATGATTCATCTGCATCTGGAACACCTCGCGCGCAAAGCTACGTGCCTTTAGAGTTGGAACTGGCAGCTCGAACTGGCGCCAAGAAGTCATGAAGTGCCTTCTAGATATTTCTTATTCCTAAGAAAACTGCACGCCTAGGATGACGCTGACGTTCATTAATAAATCACTCGGTCTCGGCAAAGTAGTACGTACGCGAACACTCCGATTAAAATCTTGTGACATCATCCGCTAGAATCGCGTCGTAGTTCTCGTGAAATGCTGACGAAGGTATGCGTTTACGCTTACACATCGAACGATATCGTCTTTTTCTCGAAGCGATGAAGCGGATATTCATTTGCTTATTAACTACGAGACGTTACGACGTAATCTCGTACGATTCCGCAGTCGTCGATTCCGTGTTCGAAAAGTGGAAAGGCATATGTGAAAGAAAAAATTAATCTTATATAAATCAAAACTATATATTATATTATATTCTTAGGAAAATTTTCTTTAAGTCTTTGAATTTGCAAATATATATATATATATATATATATATATATATATATATTCTCTATATTATTCATATGAGCAAGAATATTATAATCTTCATAAAAGATTTTTGGTTTCGAGTTGAGCAAAATATAAATATTAAATTAAGATTAAGATTTTTTTTTTTAAATTATAATATTCTTGTTTATATGTATGAAAATATTTGTCTTGCTTTAAGACTATTTTTTCTGTGCACACGAGTAAATATATCTTTCTAGAATTATTTTCTCGTCGTTCAATATTAGCCTTCGAGATGATCACGCTTTTCTCGAGAGACACAATCGCGCGTTTATCCGATGCGAGAGCGAGTAGGCGAAACGTTTCTTTTCCGTACGTTAAAAATAAATATACATATAACGCGCACACCTGCGAACAATCTCGTTGGTGGAAGAATCGTCGGAGAGAAGAATCGTTCGCGGAGGATCGCGTCGAGAGGAAACGTAAGCGGGAAAGGAACGTTCACCGAGTAGGCAGAAGCCGGAGGTCTAAGGCGCGGCCCTTCGATGAATCGAAAGCTAAATCTCGAGTCCCGAGGTCGACGGGCTTTATTCATTCAGATAATATTTTCAGATAGCGCGATCTGGTCTCCTCCTAGTTTAGCCAACCCGTCTCGTGGCCATCGCGCTTCCTTCGCAACCTGACACGTGTAATCGGAGCACGTTCCAACGCGGCGTCGTTGCGTATCGTTGCTCTCGCGATTTTACGAGCGTCTATCATCGCGCGACGGTGATTTTCATAAACACGATAATCGAGGGAGAATCAATAGTGCCGGCCTTGCGACATAACGACCGGCATGTAAAACGATTGCGTGGCATTTTCGAAGCTGCGAGGAGACTCGTCGAAATGATCTCGGTACTCTTTCGCTTAGATTATGATTTATGTGGAACGAAATATCGCACGCGTTTTTTCTTGCGAGACTTCTCGTTATGTTGATTAATCGTTACGAGACGGTTTAAATATTATCATATTTAAAATATTCGACTTGCGAAAAGACCTTTCTGCAAGCAAATATTGACTAATTCTTGTAGTTAAATGCAGCACATTTTATGACTGTTGTACAGATAGGAATATTTTTCTTGTAATATAGTTGAGATGCTTGGAAATATTATATTAATTATAATATTTATAATAATTTATAATAATAATATTATAATTAATATGATATTATGAGGAAAAAGGGACATTCTAAAAAGTTATGGAAACAAAAGAAGCAAGGAAGAGAAGTAGGAATCAAGGAGATGATACGGTATGATAAGACGAGATGGGGATAACACGAATAAAATTTAAGAAAGCGATAAGAAACTGTATGGTATA